TGTGTGACCACCATCCCTTCTCCTCCATTCTCCTCTCAGGATCTTGGGCACGCACGCACATGCGCCCAGTGTGAGTTTAAGCCACCGGGTCCAGGCCGACTACATGGGAGTCCAGCAACATACCCATTACGCCAACTGCTGATCCCAGGCACAATAAATATATTAAACTAGATCATTTATATACATACTTTCCTCTGTTCAATGTCTTTAAAACTTTTAATTACTGTATCAACAATCTTAACACAAATATAATTTTTTTTCGGAGAGGTCTTTGCTATAGGGCACGTGCACTCGCAAGAAAGATAGAGACAGAGAGACAGAAAACAAGAAATCACACACACACACACACACACACACCCCGGGGAGGATGGCCACCATGCTGCAATCCCTTCTCGGCTCTCCACTTGGGATCTTGGGCACACACGCACTCAGGCCCGGTGTGAGTTTAAGCCACCAGGTCCAGGACTTGAACTGTGGTCGACTACATGGGAGTTCAGCAACATAGCCATTACGCCAACTGCTGGTACCCAAATATAATTTTTTTTAGGCTTGCCAAAAATATTTATTGAATGAATCATGGTATTACTCTGCTATATGGGCAGTAAGTGTGTGAAAGCCATGATCATTGATATCTCCATGTTTTGTCATAGCTCCATTGCTAGTGAACTGATATTTTTAATTTTTTTTTTGAGAGGTTTTCGCTATAGGGTGCATGAGCTCGCCAGACAGACAGAGAGAGACATAGAGACAGAAAGCGAGAAATCATCCCCCAGAGGGGATGGCCATGCCGCAATCCCTTCTCCTCCATTCTCCTCTCGGGATCTTGGGCACGCATGCACACGTGCCCAGCGTGAGTTTTAAGCCACCGGGTCCGGGATGCGAACCGCGGTCGACTACATGGGAGTCCAGCGACATAGCCATTATGCTAACTGCTGGTTCCCTTAAATTTATTTTTATTTATCTTACATATTTTCACTGGACATCACCACTGCATACAAAATGTGATTTTCCAGCCAGAATACACTTTAGAGTGGCTTAAACTCTTATAATATACTTGTGTGTGTATAGTATCGCTAGGCCATGGGGTGCCCCCATAATTTTTGTTTTAACCATTCTAAGAATTTTGGGAAAAACTATACATTGATTGTCATAAATAGATGTAGTCTTGGTGAAAAACTCAAATGAAATAAAACGATATTAAAAAAAAAAAACTTCATTACAAAGGAAGTACATATCTATAAGAATAAATCCTAAACTGTTTACAATGGATACTATGAAGAAGTCAGGGTATTTCCTGATAAGAAGAAGGAGAGGAAGAAAGCACCCTCCCAATGAACATGGTCACACCTTAATCCCTTCTCTAATTTTCCATCCTGTTGGTATTTGGAGCACACATGCCTGTGTTTTATTTTCAGCTCACTAGGGCTGGGATTTGAATGGCAGTTAACATATGGCTCCCTTAACCATTAGGCTACAGAGCCTGTCCAAATTTAAAAATACTGTGCTTTTTCTGTTTTTAAAAACAGGAGTACACTGGGACCAGCAATTGGCATAATGGCTATGTCACTGGACTCCCATGTAGTAGACCGCAATTCGAGTTCCAGACCCAGTGGCTTAAACTCATGCTAGGTGCGTGTGCACGCATACCCAAGATCTCAAGAGGAGAATGGAGGGATTTGCACTGTGGCCATACCCCCCGCCCCTGGGGGGGGGGTGATTTCTCACTTTCTCTCTTTCTCTGTCTTCTTGGCGAGCTCATGTGCCCTATAGCAAAAAGTTCTCCAAAAATAAAAATGAAAACAAAAACAAAAACCCAGGAGTGTACTATTTTTGTAATACAAGTATACTTTTAAAGTTTTTGTCTTTTTTCTGTTTTTTGCTATAGAGTGTGTCTGCTCACTGAAAAGAGACAAAAAGAGACAGAGAGAAGGTAAATGAGAAATCATCCCCCCAGGAAGATGGCTACATCACAATCCCTTCTCGAGAACTCCATTCTCCTCTCAGGATTTTGGGCACGCATACACACGTGTCCTGCATGATTTTCAAGTTGCTGGGCCTGGGGCTTGAATCATGGTCAACCATGTGGGAGTCCAGTGCCATAACCACCACCCCACCTGCTGGCACCAGAATGTTTTCATTTTTTAATCTTCATTATCCTATAACCCAACAGTGCCAATAATACATGGAATAAAGGAAGAATATGGTGGAATTCTCGCCAATATCAACATGGCAGGTAATAACTGGATAGATTATTTGACCTTAAGTGATCATCAATAAAGGATGCCTAATCACCTAATGATTTTCATTACAAATGTTGGCTCTGTTTTTTCTTATTCTTGTCACTTTTCAACTTTTGTGTATAACATCTTCCTTCTTCCTACATTTACTAGCTTTATTTAAACACCATTTTCTTGATCACAAACTATCCCCTCAGACAAAAGCTCAAAAAAATGGCAGCCTTTTGATGTCTCATAGGTAGCCCACAAATATAAATGTTTTTATAATTTTCAAATTAGTTGCCAATATTCAAGAATTTGAGCATTTCTCACAAATTTCAAATTTCCAGCTTCTCTCTTTTTATTTATTTATTTATTTATTTATTTATTTGGCTATAGGGCACATACGCTCGCCAGACAGAGAGACAAAAAGTGAGAAATCACCCCCCAGGGGGGATGGCCACGCCGCAATCCCTTCTCCTCCATTCTCCTCTTGGGATCTTGGGCACGCACATACACGTGTCCAGCGTGAGTTTTAAGCCACTGGGTCCGGGACGCAAACTGTGGTCGACTAAGTGGAAGTCCAGCAACATAGTCATTATGCTAACTGCTGGTCCCTTCTCTTAAAAGGTGCAAAGTCCTGCATGGCAAGAGGGATTGTATACACACTGTCCCTTAGCTTAAGTGCATGCTTTCCATCGGATCCCTGACTGCACCCAACACGTCCCCAATGGGACTGACAGGGCTATGTGCCATTTAGCACGCTGCTTGCACTGTTTCTTTATCTTTTCTTCTTTTTTTTAATCTTAAAGTAATAAGAAAGTAATTTTCTATTTACATTCAGGCATAAAAGAACATCAAGCAAGCCAGGTGCTTCTCCCCCCAAAAAGGTGGGGAGAGCAGGCATAATTGTGAAAATAAAGATGACCTCAGTATTTAATATGCAAAGTATGCCTAGGCTGAAAGAATCAATTTAATAACAACAAGAAGCTTCCATTTAGGCAGGTCCTGTAGTCTAATGGTTAAGACAGCGGCAGCCCACATGTCGACACAGTTCAAATACCAGCCTTGGCAGATTAAAACAAAAAACAAAAAACCACAAGGCATGTGTGCATGTGTGTGTGTGTGTGTGTGTGTGTGTGTGCCCCACACCCCAACAGGATGGAAAAATGGAGAAGAAGGGATTGTGTTGTGGTGTGACCACCACTCATTAAGGGGTGCTTTCTCCCTCTTCCTTCTCTCCCCATCCTCATTTCTGTCTCCCTTTGGCAAGTATATGCACCCTCTGGCAATGAAAAAAAAAAAAAAAAAGACCATGCAATAGAGAAAAGCTTAAAAATGTAATGAATTTGTTTCTAAGTGGGAATAAAAAAAATGATACTTTTGTAAAACAGAATTACATTAAATGAAGAGTATTTTCCTATTTCTAATCCATGTCATTCATTCATGTTACTAACTGACCCTGCAGGTATCTGAGTTTGTCCCCCTACTTAGAAGCACACCCAGACAGGCCATGCGCGTCATCTACCCCTGCCCTACTTCTGTGTCATGGGGCAGTAAAAAGCAGACCAGCTGCCTAGACCAGCAGAGATTCTCCTCCACTTCCCTCCCCTTCCTGCTCTGCACTGCTCTGCAGTAATCTGCCAAGATAAGAGCAGCAGCTGTAAATTTCCTATTAACTCTTCAACTCCATTCTTCCTGCTCCTACACAGGGCCACTCCCTCTAGGCCCATATCCTGGCAAATGCCAATATTAAGAGTTCAGACTTTCCTTTGCTAATACGGCTCCACATGCTTTTGTAAGTTCGTGGACTTTCAGGTGCAGCAGCAAACACGCAGAGCAGAGCTCCGAATCCTGCTCAAACCCTGTGGGACAGAGCAGATGGCCTGTTCAAGACAGCCTAACAGCGATTGACCGTCTGCACCAATGTCAGGAACAGCTCAGTAGCTGCAGGTTGATGCTAAAAAACCTGAAGCTCCCAATCTTAAGAGGGAGAAAAAGGAGACTCTGGTCAACTATGTCTGAATCAACTATGTCTGCATCTCTAGGACTGATCACAGTCTGGGGCATAGATCTAGTCTTCAATAAATGCTTTCTGAATATATTGTAGAATATGACATCTCTCCTTGATTCCCCTCATCACTCAGGCCCAACCACATTCTGGAATTCACAAAGTACTTCCACATGGCTTCTCTTATTTGATTCAATTAGGAGAGTTGTGAGGTAGGCAGAGTTAGTTTTATAGCATCACTTCCAAATTACAGAAGGAAAAACAGAACTTCAAATCTAAGAGAGCCTAGCATGACTCATTCAAAGTCAAAGAATTTGTACTGGGTTTTATGTTAAGTACACTTTTAACCAGGCCACCATAAACTAGAAAGATGAATAGGGAGCTAACACTAAAATTATGAATTATGACACTAGGGCCTTTTAGAGAGAAAAACACATTATCTGAAACAGATGTCTTATAACAAAAGCAAAATTAAATAATTGGCGAACACAATTCAAGAAAAACAACTTAAGATTTTTTAAAATATTTTTTATATAGAAATATTTTACAAAGATTTTACAGCATCGCAAATCATTATGTCATACTGTAGAAAGATGGAGAAAAAGATTAAACCTCAACGATAGAGAAAGTGCTCATAGCAATGTATTACAGTCTCCATGAAAGTGCATCAACAGTTAAGGCAAAGTACCATGTCGGTACTGGCATGTGGCAATGGACTCGTAAAACAGTTTTGAAAATATACACAAGTGTTTGTGTGGGATTTTTTTTTTCTCTTTTTTTTCAATGACATTTAAAAGGGTTATTTTTATAAACATCCTTGCTCTAGAACCACATAGCAATAACTCTTGGGTGTAAAGCAGTAAAAGTAAAAATGTTCTGCCCTAGTGTATTAAAAATGGATCAAATGATTTCTAAAACAAAACCTTTCCAAGGGTGGGCTTGCTTTCTACATGTACCTGGCCAGGCTGAAGGCTCACTCCCTCCTATTCCAAGACAGACATCACTAATGAGAATGGCATGAGTTCAATTAGAATCATGCCCTTCTGTGTGCTTTAGCTTTGAATTCTACGGCCAAACTGGAGACATATGTGAAGTCCTTATAAATCCACTGTGCTATAAATCTACTTTACAGCTTTGCTTCTACCTGCAGCTTACACGATAGCTATTTTATGAAGTGCTACACATGCTTAAAACAATATTTGCCCTGATAATAAAAACACAAAGATGCTCTCTAAGGTTATTTATAAACCATATCAAAGAATTCTAGCTAAGTTTTTTTTTCCCCACATACATGTAAATCCCTTAAGAATAAGAGGATTAATAAAGATAATACTGGTTATCAAACTCTAATCTTCATAATTGGAGAAACATTTGTTTTTATAATATAATTGAGAATAAGATACAAAAACCAATAAATTAGTCAGACTTGAATAAGAGTTTTAGAAAAAACTCATTGAAACCTGAATATCTGAATTCCTAAGTATCTGCCAAAGAAAAATTTAATTCACATAACTAACCACTCTTCCATGCAAAATTTTATCTACTCATGAGAAATGGAGGAATTCAGTGTTATCATTATAGTCTCCATATTTAAACCAAAATTTTCATTTCCAATGCTTTTTTCCCCTCTTGCCTACATGCAAGGGAAATTAAACAGCTTATATCTGCTGACTTAGGTTTCCTAAATAGCTTTTAGCCTCAAGACACAGCTGTGGTTAAAAACAGAGAGAACACCTTGTCATATATTGAAATTCTAAAGTACAAAATAAGCACATGTGCTCTACACAATCTAGTAACAGGGATAGCCACAGTTAAACTTTCTTACACAACAGATGTGTTAGTTTGATTTTCATTTGTAACTTCTTTTTCATCAGGACCACAAATAAAGAGTTGGTTGCCTAGAGTTTTTTGGGCAAATCGGAAATACATGATGTGGCCCATTGCCACAAAGGAGACTGAAATCAGTACGAGCAAGCCAAAAGCTTCAGGATTTGGAGCCAGGATGACCATGATGAAATGCAGAAGATCAAGAAGATAGTTCATGGAGTTCTGTACACCGTTTATAATGCCTCTCTCAGATTCAATTACATTTTCTTGAAGCAACTGTGTCACAGTTAAATCAAAGGACCAGAGACCTACAATAAAAAGTATTTTTTTAAAATATTGGATTTTAATTTTATCATCATACATTTCAGATTTAGAGATAAAAATCTAACATGTGCAAAATAGACTTTTTAGCCCTGCTACACCCCCCTTAACTCATCTTATATATATTTATCATAGTCTTTTCTTAGATAATTATTTTTTCATTAATAAATATTGGGTTATTAATGGCTTCAAGGAATTATTGTTACAGCTACCAGACAAAAGTAAGTTCAATATATACACTGTATTTCACTGTAAAAGTGAAACTCTAGGGGCCAGCAGGTGGCGTGGTGGTTAAGGCGCTGGACACTCCCACATGGCTGACCAGAGTTCAAGTTCTGGACCTGGTGCCATACTTTCTCACTTTCCTTCCCTCTCTCTCTGTGTTTCTCTCTGGTCAAATTAAAAAGAATGAATAAATAAAATTAAAATAAATAATTCTTAAAAAATGTGAAACCCTGAAATCAGAGACATCATATTGTAGAACCTATTATAAGTACTAGTATTTTCAAAGTTTAAAATGACCTAATACATTATTATGGTTAAAGTATAAGGAAACTTTAAACCATTGTTACATTTACTGCTTGGGTTCTAAAGCCCCTACAATAAAGCTGTCTTGCTTGGCTATTAATGTCTTTGATAAATGAGTGAACTGCTTTGTATCACAAGATAAATATGGTTTCATTTTAAAATATATTCCGTAAGAGATAATTAATCAATACTCTATTAATGATTACTTAAATTTTGCTCTTAAGAAGTCTTTACATTATATTTCTTTCCAGAGCTATAAACCCATTTGCGTGGCAAAGTATATAATAAAAACATATCAGCTAGAGAAGTCCTTTGAAGATATTTTTTTCTAACTGCATTACCATAGCTTTAAAAAAAAATTAAAACAACACTATTTTTTTTATGTTGTTCCCCTAGAAATATTCTCTACATTTTCGTTATTTTGGTAGTGTCACAATATAAAGACTCCAAATTACTAGATGGCAATACAATTACTATAGCTAATATCTTTTAAAAATTAAATTACATTAAGAGAATAATGCTTAAGATGCTCATTTAGAAAAAAATGTCAAGTCCTAAACATGTTTTAAGTATCAGTACATGTACATATGCAAACATAGTTTTTAAAACTATATAATAAAAATTTCACAATGGATAGTAGATTTTACTTAAGTTAACATTCAAGGAACACGTAGATAATTTATCAGGGAATTCTCTGTATTACACATTCCAAAACGAGACTTCATTTACGCACAAAAAGATTTCTTACCGATTCTAGCAGCAATGACGCCTGCAAACAGCAGGCTGACGGAGATTATTATGGGCTCAGATTTAGGACTCATCTCAGAGACAATATTAGGATTGGACCCGTTTGATGTATTCATTTCAGTTGGAATGAGGGATTCAGCCATTTTGGTGGGTAAAACTGGCTCTCCTTGAATGAGCCTAGTACGGATATCTTCAAAAGGAGAAACGGACAAGTCCAAGGGGCTTCCAGGCATGAACACGGAGATCACACACAAGATCAAACAGGAAAGCTGTGCCAATCCTGAGATCAGGCCAGTCCGAACCAGGCCACATCTCTGACGTAGCCAAGTAAAAGCTACAGTTCCCATTATTCCAGTGATAGCTGATGCTCCCATCAAAATACTGAGGATGGAACCACTCAGCCCCTGAGTGTAGGCGTACCCTGTGGTGATGCAGTCGAAGCCTAGGACAGTCATATAAAGGAAAGCAAGGCCCATGCCAGCCAGAAACACTGGCTGGTTGTAGTAGGAAACCCAACCATCTCGGAAGGTGCGGAAGGGTTCGGCCATCTGGGAGGCACAGGAGGGCTCTTGCTCATGTTCAAACTCATGGATGTTAGGGTCTTTCTCATCCATGAGATGAGTTCCCTCCAGGGCTTTCGGCTCAGTATCTGTTAATAAAAGATACCATTATTTGTGTGGGGGAAACCAACAATTTCATTCAATATTTTTTCTTCTACCATTCCCCTTCCCCAAGGGTACCCTTGATTGCTACATTATAAGATGTATTTTCTTTTATAAACAATTTAAAAATTCTCATCAAGAAACTCTCTAAATGTTATTTTTGTTAAAGAAATACAATACTATTGATCTATGTCTCTCTCTCTCTCTCTCTCTCTCTCTCTTTAAAACTATTTCTTAGGGGAACCAGCAATTAGCGTAATGGCTATGTCGCTGGACTCCCACGTAGTCGACCGCGGTTCACGTCCCGGACCCGGTGGCTTAAAACTCACGCCGGGCGCGTGTGCGTGCGTGCCCAAGATCCCGAGAGGAGAATGGAGAAGGGATTGCAGCGTGACCATCCCCCCTGGGGGGTGATTTCTCGCTTTCTGTTTCTATGTCTCTCTCTCTCTGTCTGTCTGGCGAGCGCACGCGCCCTACAGTGAAAATCTCTCCAAAAAAAAAAAAAAACTACTTCTTAGAACATATATTCCCACCAAGTAAATAGCAGGAAAACTCATAAGATAGCATGTGAAAATTGTCTGGGAAAACACAGTATCTTGTTTTCTGAGATCCTGCTAAGATTCCATTTACCCAGAAGCCTAATTTCTTTTTTTGGGAAAATGCCCATCAGAGTCTTCTTTCCCGTCCACTGTCCTACAAGTGACCATAAAGCTTCCCTCTTCATAGATTCCAAGGAATTCTCTTGCTCTCATTTTCACAGTGTTAGTCTCATTCTTATGACTCAGCTTTGCTTAACCCCCACTCTAATAATTGCTCCTCTGTGCCTACCACTCAGGGGTAAGCCAGGGGTCCTGTTTAAACCCCATCGGGTACAACACAGAGTTTTTCTATAGATCTTTGAAAATCTAGCTTTGCCTCACTTACCAAATTAATATGTTTAACCTTATCCAGACCTTGTCTGGTAATAAAACCTGATAAAAATTCAAAATACTTTTTAATCTCTATCAACACTTAAGGCCTAAACATCCAAGTAAAAGGACTGATCATCTTATTCAGTTTACCTTTGTGTAAATTCAGCTGTTTCAATTCAGATTCCTCTACTTTAAGAGCAGTTTTCACAGCTAGAGCAGGAGTTTTCTGGTAAACCTTCCAGAGCAGAAAATATTCCACACACATGGACACCAAATTCCATGCCGAAATGAAACCACAGCCAATGACTGGAGAGCCAAATGTCATAATCTGGCCTACAGCCATGGGGGCCAAGATGTTGGTTAGCTGGTCAATCCTTCGTATTGTAGCATTCATGTCTACAGAGGCAGGAGAAAGAGGCAGGTAAGTCAAAGAGAGACTGACCATTCACATAATACAAAGTCATAAATTAAGAGTGTAGTTTTTGAGGCTAGCAGGTGGTATGGCGGTTAAGGCACTGGATTCCCATATGGTCTGAATCCCAGACCCGACAGCTTGAAAAGCACCCCAGCCATACATGTGCATGCATGCCCAAAATCCCAAGAGGAGAATGGAGAAGAGATTGTGGCATGGCCATACTCCCTGGGGGGGGGGGGGTGACTTATCACTTTCTCTCTCTCTCTCTGTCTCATTTTAGAGAGAGCATGCACCCTGTGGAAACACGCCCCCAATGTAATTTTCTAAAGTATAAATTTCTGATGGTACTCTACAAGCAACCATTATGTTATAAAAACATTTGTTGTTGTCCAATAACACCAAATTTACCTCAAAAATCATGATTCCCTTGTTTGAATAAATTAGGTGAACACCACCTTTAAAAATGCATAGACTTGGAGGACCAGCAGTTAGCATAATGGCTATGTTGCTGGATTCCCATGTAGTCGACTGCAGTTCACATCCCAGACCCGGTGGCTTAAAACTCACACCAGTCCTGTGTAGGTGCATGCCCAAGATCCCAAGAGGAGAATGGAGGAGAAGGGATTGTGGCATGGCCATCCCCTCTGGGGGGTGATTTCTCGCTTTTTGTCTCTGTCCCTCTCTGTCTGTCTGGTGAGCACACTCGCCCCATAGCGAAACAAAACAAAACAAAACACCTCTTTAAAAAAATGCATAGACTTTACATTATTTTTTCAACAAATTCTTATCGAATGCCTATTATAAGCTAGGTATCATTCTCAACAATATAAAGAAAACCACACCCTTCACTGGCTTCAGAGAGTTTACATTCTCATAGGAAAAAAAGACAACAGTCAACAAGACAATACTCAAAGATAAGAGTCAAAAAATGATGTTCATTGAATAATATGGTGAAAACATAAACCAAAAACAGGACATAGAGAGTGGTCAGGGTAAAGTTCTAAATAATATGAAGTCAGGGAAAGACTCACTGAAGAAAATGGAAGCATCACAGCAAAGACCAGAAATGCAAGGAGGCAAGAGAATAAGCCATGTAGACATCTGTAAGAAGAGAACGTCAAAGCAAGGACAAGGCAAGTGTCCTGGAGTAGGCCCAGAGTGTTAGAGGAACAGCAAAGAAAACAGCAGGACCAGAGCAGAGCGAGAAAGGAAATGGTCAGAGAAGACGAAGTCACAGAGTGAGAGAAGACTGGCCCAATCATGTAGATCTAATGAACATTATATGGACTTTGACTATCACAACGCATAGTCAGGAAACCTTTGAAAGCTTCTGAACACGGAAGAGGCATAGTCTGGCATATTTTTAATTTTTTAAATTTGCACATGCACCTGCCAGAGAAAGACAGAGGGGGAGAGTGAGAAAACACTGTTCCCCACACACACACACTCATGGAGCACGATCACAATGCAATCCCTTCTCCTTCATTTCTTCATCTTGTCAGGATTTTGTGTGTGCATGCACACATACCCAACACACCTCTCAAACCACCAAGGCCAGAATCCAAATCATGCAGTTGGCTATCTGGAATCTGGATCTCTTAATCTCTTAAACCCTCTAGCAGAGGGAGAAGTATGGCAGAGGCCAGCCCTCTGATGTATTTTTTTTTAAGGTACACTCTGGCTGCTATGTCAAGAAAGAACTGCAGAGCAAGGATGGGAAGGAGACAGACAAGAACAGAGGCAAGGAGACAAATGGAAGATTAAAGTGACATACATCAGCATAGTAACAATAAAAAAATAAATAAAGAGAGAGAAAGAAATGGAAAGTATACAGACTTTGCAGGTAGGACCAGGAGGACTTGCTAAAAGATTGGATATGGGTGTGAGAGAAAGAGAAATCCTGGACAACTCTGAATTTTTTTCTTTGTGTGTACTGTGTTTTTTGTTTTGTTTTGTTTTAGTAACTCTTAGAAGGATAGAGCTGCCATTTACTGAGAAATCGAAGCCTTCAGAAGAATTGGGTTTAGCACTAAATAACAAGTGTTTGGTTTTAGAGATGCTGGTTTTTTTAATGGGCCTGCTAACATTGAAGACACCACATTAAGTAAGCAGTTTAACATACGAGATTGGAGTTTAGGGAAGAAATATACCAGATTTGGGAGTCATCAACTGGTTGAGAGATAAGGTAGTACAAACTAGAAGATATCACCAAGGGAGTGTTAAGATCAAGAAAAGATAAGGTCTGAGGACTGAGTGCTGGTTTCACCATGTTTAGAGTTAGGAAGCTAAGAAAGAACTAGCAATACGGAAGAAATCCCAAAAGACTGCGGTATCCTTGAAGTCAAGAAGTGACAGTGTTTCAAAGAGGAAAGTGTTATCAACTGTGTTAAGAGCTATCAACAGTTCAAGAAAGACAAGCACTGGTCACATGATAGACACTGGGAACATGGAAAAGAACAGAACTGTAAGGAGGCCAGCTCTGCAGTGAAGCAGTAGTGTGCTGCTCAAGAGAAGGCAGATCCCATATGGTGACCACAGTTTAAATCCCTGGCCTGGCCCACCTGAAACATACCAGGCACATGCACAAGTGCCCAAGATCCGACAAGGTGGAGGACTGGAAGAAGGGAGCCGTGGTGTGATCAGCCCTGTGGACGGTGTGCCTTTCTGTCTCTCTCTTATGTGCATGATATATGCTCTATCATAAATGAAGAAAAAAAATTTAAGAAAGAGTAGAGCATTAAGGGCAAATGCTTCCTTGAAGTTGGCTTATGAGACCGGTGCCAGCTTCAAAGGACATCATTTATATTATGAGTGAGTCACAACTCCTGGTACACAAAGTGAATGCTGTCTATGGCCTCATGAAAAGCAAAATCCTGAACCAAGAGAGGAATGGGGAATAGACAACACTTGTTGAAACTGTTTTGCTGAAAAAAGGTACAAAGAAATGGGGCAGCAGAGGGAAAAGTATGGAAAATACAGATTTTTAAGAGGAACATTAGAGCATATTTGTCTTCTGACTATAATGATACAGTAAAAAGAAGAGTTGGAATGTGAATCTACTGCCTTGGTGGAAGAGCTATTCTTAGGAGCACTAACAATTCATTGACAATGATGAGCGAGAACATGAAAGTTATCTTCTTGTCTCTTCCATTTTCTTAGTAAAATCCAAAGCAAGGTCTTGGGTGAAAGTGGGATGGGGGTGGGGTCCTGAATGTGTGAGGAGACAAGAGAAAGGTGAAAGAGTCCTCTAGGAAAGTGAGAGAAAGAAGGGATCAGAGAACATAGTCTGATGATATGGAAGCACGAAAGCACCAATTTGACCCCAGTGGTGGTGAACTTTAGAAGAGAACCAAGCAAGGTCATGTGTTTTTTTTCCAGTCATGTTTTATTTTGGAGAGTTGGATTTGGTCATGGTCTTACCAAATGAAAGTGGCAAAAGGAGAGGGGCCAGTGAACTGAGGGTATTGTTAGGAGGTGACCAGTTGACCATGACTGACCTTGACCTTCAAGCTGGGTAAGAAAGGGAGATGAGAGAGAGGTCATGAATAGTGAAAAGGCTGTGGGATTAGTGCCTTGCAGTATGTCAACAGTATATTGCCCTGATTCCTACTCTAATTCTTCCTGGTTCTCATTTCCCAATTAGTCCTATGAAAGTATATCATTTGTATAATAACAGGAGAACTTTGACATTATTTCACCCTTCGCTTAGGAGGCAAAGGCAGTTTTTATTGATCTTACAAGTGACTGTCTATGCGGAGGTCATTAACTTCTATCTGCTCCTCATTAATAACTGCGACTCATATGCTGACAGAGAAGTGAAGAATTGATCCAAATAACTCAATAATTTGGATCCAAGAAAAGGTAAGTAACTACAGAAAATAAATTCTTGACTTTTAAAGTCCCAGGACAACAAAATTATTTTAGGTAAAATTATTTATTATGTTTATACTACCTCAATTTTTAAGTGCTCACGGAGCTTCCCAATGTCACCAATTTCTGTTGTTTGCATTATACTTTGTAAGTGAATAAAATTTGGATATCAGAACAAATGTAGTGTCAGAAAACAGCTTTTATTTTTCTGAAGCAGAATGAATTAAATAATAATTTTTTAAAAAGACCTAATCATTTCTCTGGTAACAAGCTAGGAAAGAATCAGTCTTCTGAATGTGCAAACATATGCTCTTTACAAATTTATATTTATTCTCACATAAACACAAACATGTTCTCATTTGATTCTAGTTTAACTGTTTAAAGCTATAGCTATGGCATAACATGAATATAAATAACTACTTTGATTACAAAGGGTATATTACAACTCGCAGGAGAATAATTTTTTTAAATATTTTTTGAGTGAATAACAACAGTTTTGCTTACCTCAAATATGAAATAAATTTATAATCAGCATAGTTCAAACATGAAATTTATCTTTAATACTTGGTCAAGCCAATCAGCAAAATTTTTTTTTTTTTGGATGGTTGGGCAAGAACAACAACTTCAGAGGCTATTAATATATAGTGACCCACAAAGGAAATAGGGAAGGAAATAAAGCAAAAGATGGAGAAAAACATTTGGGAAAAGGAAGCAAGTTTCAAAGAGTTCTGATAGGCCAAGAGTCATGGCACAAAAGAATGTGTTAATAAAATACTAAATCAAGTACCTAGAAAGTCTCTAAATTAGTTAGCAGGTTAGTAGTTGACAGTACTTATGTGAAAAGCAATAGCTTTTCTGGAGCTTTCTAAACTAGAGGGTAACAGCTATATTTTGGCCTGATGCCACTGAAATTCTTACACATTTTAACCATGCTATGGAATATCCATCCTGCTCTCAACCCTCAGTGAGAGAGCTTTGCATTTTAAAACCTCAAGAAACTGGGGATAGAAGCAATTAGCATCCAGCTTATACCCTTTACTTTTTACGCACACACCCTCCCCCCTTCACCATCTACACACATACACACAACACACATACAAAACGCATATAGACAATTCACACAAGTGAAGCCTTTCTGGCTCAGTCTCCTACCTGAGTTTCTAACCGTCTGCCAGCAAACTCAAAAATCAGCCTGCATTAACATAAATTAATCCTGACTGGAGCAGCTGCGCCTGTGTACAGAGACACCCTCCCAGGAATCCAAGGCAGTGGCTGGAGTTCCCTTAGGTGGACTTTTTTCCTTCTCTCTTCTCTTTTTCCTTGATCTTCCTCCTTTTTCCCTGTTCTCCTTTAACTGTTTTATGGCAGAACTGGCACCAAAAATCCATGCTTAGACACTGGTTGAGCCTCAGAACAAAGAAAGTTTTTGTATCTTGTTTTGAAACATAGTTTTTTTTTTAATAATTATTTATTTAATTTTATTTATTAATTCATTTATTTTAATTTGGAGAGAGAGACACAGAGAAAGAAAATGAGAATGCAGGCCACCAGGTCCAGGACTCGAACCATGGTCTGCCATGTGGGAGTGTCCAACGCTTTAACCACCATGCCATCTGCTGGTCCCCTTGAAACATAGGTTTTAATTAATACAAAGGTTGACTTTACAACTTCAGAAAAGAAAACCCTTAGTTTTTTTCCTGAGTAGGCTCCTGAGACACACTGCTGGTTGGATGTGAAAAAGCACCACTTACGAAAAGCTAATTTAGGTTCGGCAGACAACTTATTTCCTTTCGTAAATTTGACAAACTCCAGAAGGTCAGAAAGTAGACTGAGTGGCCTACCTTCTTCCTCTCTGCAGTAATTCATAATATAAAGAGGAATGGCTGAGAAACAGTCAGTCAGACTTTCATTGTTGTTTTGGGCTATCACTTGCTAATTGGAAAGATCCTAGAAACTTATGTAGGATTTTTGTATTTTTATGTATGCATTATGACAAGTTAAAGATTCTGAGTAACTTTCAGAGTAAAATCACTTTTTTTTAAAAAAATAGACTTTAAAGAGTCAATATGAGTTCAGTTAAATTCAGGTACATGACAGAAAATCATTTTACATGTTCAAGTTCCTCCCAAATATAGCCCAACAAATATACATCTGACCTCTTTTCAAGATATATCCTTCTGTACCCTTCGAATTAAAACATGGATGTACTGTACATGCTTGAAATAGTAGTTAAAAAAAAGAAAGTAAACAGAAAGGACAAAGCCTTATCTTCTAGTTCAATCTGACAAGAAGAGATTTCAATCATTCCTTAATACAAATGATCACAGAAATGAAAGCCAATGATAATCACTCTTTCGGCACCAGAGATAAGTTCCTGTGGTACACACTCACATGTGCTTAGTTCATCCTCCCCACCATCCTCCAAAAGCTCCCTGCTCTATCCTATACCACTGATAATACTGCTACAAAGTGATGAGTCAAGCAAAGTCTTCTCCAAGACCTTCCAAAGATTTTGTTCTTTTTCAATCACCACTTTCTTTTTTGCTTTTTTGCTTTTTTTGCATAAGGTTTTGGTCAAACAAGCTCCCTGTTAACACCAGCACAGGATCTTGCCCTCTCTGTCTGGGGATACGCCATTTAAGTCATTGATAAGGGTTTTCTTGTCTGTCAGGATGGTTAGACAATGTCTTTGTGCTACTATTATCTCAGCGAACTAGCAGAATGATTCAGCTGTTCTGACCAGTAGGCAGATATATCCTTACTCTTTTATCCTGAGCAAATATCAATCCCACTTGTGTCCATGTGCTATTAAAAATAAGGCAGGGCTGCTTTAGAGAGTGAGGGAAGTTATGCTGAACCCAGTCATGTAGGGGTAACAGAACATATTGTTCTGTAAGTATTCTTCAGTCTTTGACAACCTGTAAATATTTTCAGTGACCGACTAAGATTGTAGTGTAGCCCCTGTTTCTTCAGTATTGCTAACAGCAATTATGTTACTTTCTTCATGATAAAAGTTAAAGATTATAACTTTAAAGCAGACGGAATTAACTTCTAGAGTCTCTCCTAAGTTGTTGCCTTTTAGTTTGGAGAAAAGGAATATCCATGCTATAATCAGTTAAGTATCTGTAGATATGATGAAGAAAATCCCATATAATATTTTCATTGTTCTAAAGATTAAACATTTAGAAGCAATAGCAGAATTTCTCTTAAAAAAAAAAAAAAGAAAAGAAAAATTTCAAAAGAAATGTTCTTCCATTTTTCAGTTTTGCACAGAATAAAAGAGAACAATCCTATAGGCTAACTTCATAGGTATGAGATAAATTTTAACACCAAGACTGAAAATAAGATTAGGAAAAAAAGTATTTTTATTATTTCTATATCTAATTTAATACCTAATTTATAAATTATATCTAATTTATTATTCTCAAAAACACCCAGAACAACAACAAAGGCATATAGCCTCATTTATTACCAATGACTTAAAATAAATCCTAACAAATCTGTTTAGCTAAAAAAGAAAACCAAATTACCTGCTAATTTGCTTCTGTCTTCTCCTGCAACAACAACAATCCAATCCCTTTGAATTGTGATTGCAGTAGCAGTACTGGCCAAATTTGCAATGTTTCCAATAGTGATGATCAGGATATAGCAGCAAGTCTAAGGAATTATCAGGGGAAAAAAATAAATTGTAGTAAAATGTCAGTTTACCATACACTATCTACCTCACTCTACAGCATAATTGGATAGGGTCTTCAGTGGCATAATAATAAAATATTTATTTTAACTTTATAATAAATAATTTTACTTTGTAACATGAAACAATAAATACCAGTGGTCAAATTAAGTGGCTTAACAGTGTCCGAATCAGTGTACTCATAATATAAAAATTATAAGAGGGGGACCAGCAGTTGGCATAAGGGCCATGTCACTGGACTCCCACGTAGTTGACCATGGTTCGAGTCCCAGACCCGGTGGCTTAACTCACATCAGGCATGTGTACATGCATGCCCAAGATCCCAAGAGGAGAATGGAGGAGAAGGGATTGTGCCATGGCTAGCCCCCCTGGAGGGTGATTTCTCGCTTTCTGTCTCTCTGTCTCTCTTTCTGGTGAGTGTACATGTCTTATAGCAAAAACCTCTCAAAAAAAAAAAAACTGTAACAGTCATGTGAACATTTACGTGACATAGTTATCATAAAATATTAACATGGTTTTGTTTAACATTTTTCCCACAAATATCTTTTTTGAAAAGAACACCGAAGTGGGCCAGCTTATGGTGCGTGGTTAGGGCAGCTGGATCCCACATGATTGACCTCATAGTTTGAGTCCCAGACACAGAGGCTTGAAAAACACTCTGGGTGCATGCCCAAAATCTCAAGAGGAAAAACAGAACAGAAAGGATTGTGGTATGGCCATTCCCCCAGGGGGTGATTTCTCTCTTCTCTCTCTCTCTCTCTCTTTCTTTCCCTTTTTTTTTTCTTTTTCTGGTTAGTGCATGTACCCTGTACCAATTTAAAAAACAAACAAAAATAAATTAAAAAACACTGAGGAAGAATTGAGATCTTATTTAAGACTGAGTTTTAAGAGTTTGTGGTTGCATAACAATGGATGATAAACAAACCTCAGTTTGTCTTAATTTTTCTCATCAGAACAATGAAGGATGAGCCAGCCAGTGGCATGGTAGTTAAGGCGACTAGATCCTATTTGACCAACTGCATGATTCAAGTCCAGACCTGATGGCTTGTAAAACACACCAGGCATGTGTGCATACATGTACAAAATCCCAAAAGGAGAAATGGTAAAGGGATTGTGGCGTAGCCTTGCCCCATGCAGGATTGGGGGTGCTCACTTTCTCTCTCTCTCCCTGGCAATCACATGCACCCTATACCAAATTTAAAAAAGAAAAAAAAAAACAATAAAATAAAATGAAGGAGATAAACTTGAAGATTTCTAATAGCCTACCTTGCTTTGAAACAATGTTGACAATACAAATATACAGAAGATTCAATATGTATTATTTTCCACCACACCTCTGTCCCTCTCTTCTTTTCTATCAGGCTATCATGAAATCACAGCAGGAGATGTTATCTAGTTGATATCCTCAAGCTAAATAACAATTATTACTGGAGTAACACAATCATGGGAATTGTTTGTTTTTTGCTTTTTTTTTTTTTTTTCCAGAGGTTTTTGCCTCAGGGTGCATACACTTGTCAGGGAGAAAGAGAGACCAAGACAGTGAAAGGGAAAGTGAGAAATCACCCTTAAGGTGGGATGGCCATGCCATAATCCCTTCTCCTCCATTCTCCTCCTGGGATCTTGGCATGATATTGGCACACAAGTGGCTGGTGTGAGTTTCAAGTCACCAGGTCTAGGACTCAAACCGCAGTTGGCCATGTAGAAGTCCAGCGATGTAACCCCTATGCCATCTGCTGGCCCCATGGCTGATTAATATATTTATATACAGATAACATTTCTCATATAGTATAAACAAATTATAGGTTACTTAAAGACTGAAAACTAACGAATTAGATATTAAGTTCTTAGAAATGCCTTGAAAAAACAAAAAGACAACATTTAAATTTAAACAATTCTTAATAAGTACTTATTATGGTCAATACTACAATAACAACAAAACAAACTATAGGGGATATTATAATATACATGGAGAGCAATATTAAAAGGTCATATTTGCAAAAAAAAAAAATTCCCTGGTTTCACAGTGTTTATACTTTTACTACTACCAGATATTCAGTTCTCTTCCAACAAGACTATCAGTGAAAACTTACAAGAACCCATCCATGGTACATGGTCAGAAGCTCTTTTTTATGTAAGAAAACCATCATCAGAATGATCCCACACAGGATGACTGAAACATTCTGTACCACCAGCGATGTCTGGGCCACTGTACAAGAAAAGAACAAAACGTACACTGTACCAAAATGTCTCAATGTGGCTGTTTCTAATCCACACATCATTGTTCTACTACATTACTGTATATACATAATTAATTACTACAGGGAAAAAATATTTATTTATTTATTTATTTATTTATTTATTTATTTATTATTTTTTAGGGATATTTTTGCTATCAGGTGCGTGCACTCACCAGAGAGACAGAGAAAGACAGAAAGCAAGAAATCACTCCCCAGGGGGAATGGCCACTCCGCAATCTCATCTCCTCTGTTCTCCTCTTGGGATTTTGAGCACGCATGCACATGTGCCCGGTGAGAGTCCAGCGACATAACCATTATGCTCTCTGTGTATTCCAAGAAAACCTGACTGAAGTAAATTCTGCCTCAGTTTTGCAGTATGACCCAGCAGGACATACTAGACCAGTAAATTTGCAAACAGAATGATGAAGTACTCACAACTGCTTTTGTTAATTGAAGTTTTTCGTAATGACGTTTTCATTTAACACAGTCTGTTGAAAGTCTACTAACATAAACAGAACTAATGCATAATCAGATCCATCTCAGCTTTTTGTTGCTTAAGCTGAAATGAGAACATGTAGGAGGTTATAAACAAGATTTAGAAGGAAGTTATGGGATCTACAACCTCCTACAAGGTGGCTGAATCTGATAAAATAGAATGCGATGAATAAATATGAAAGAAAAGCAAAATTTTGCCAAAACTAAAGCAGTGGTGTCTTTCTTTGGCATACTAATTGAGCACAGAAAATGCCAGCTCTCTTACAGTGAGGCTCCATGTGGATGAAGTGCTGCCGTAAAGACATCAGTAGTCTTTTCTCTGCCACTCACTAGGTAGACAATCTAGAGCAGGATGTCTAGATGAATGTCTTTATACCCTCTGCCTATAAGGTGAGGATGCTGATACCTGTCTCCCTTGTTTTATGGGGTCATAATGATGCTCAAATAAAATACTTAGGAAAGCACTTTGAAAAATACAGAGTTGTATATCTAAGGTGACTTACAGCTTCTTGTCTTTAGGGGTAGCAAAGCTCATCCTGGCCTAGAAAGTCATATCAAAGGTTCAAGCCAAAACAAACTGCTTCTTGAAAACAGTCTGAAATAAACCCCAATATATAACCCACTCATTTGTTGCACAAGGGTTAAATAAATGGAACGAGGTCCTTAGCTCTCAGGGCTCCATAAGCCCGAGGAAGGGAAGATATGAGAACAGATAAATTATAAAAGTGTAAGTGCAATAACAAAAGTATGAACGAAGCCTCATGGAAGCACAGCAGAATTGGTGAACTCAGCCTCGAGACAACAGAGATTTTTCATAAGGGATGACATGTGAATTGATTGTATAGGAAAAATGAGAGATTGCTATCTCACCACGTTCTGCTTCATCCAACTCAACCTTCTCTCCTAACCTATGATGGCAGTGCACAACAATTAAAAGGTGAAAGTTTTTATGAGTAATAATATCCTTATATGCCTATAGAGAATGACATAAATAACTAGATGTTCTATTGCTGCTATTGTTTGTTTTGATTGTTTTTAGGACATAGAACCTTAATAGGTGTTCTGATGTACTCATTCTCCAAACAGAAACATGTTCATCTTGATCACCTTTCTAGAGCATCAAGTCCTAGAATTTGCTATTTCAGTTCTGTATATAGGAGCATTCGTGCTGCACTGGAAGAAACTAATGATATCTCAGTCATTCTCCAGCATCGAAGATAGACATGCTCAGGTCTTGGCATTATCAACTGAGCAATTCAAGAAACTTTTACTCTGAATTATTATCAACAATGCCTTTATATTCAGAATAACTGAATTAATCCATCACTTTCTCTCTTTCCTGTATGAAACAGAGTAATTTCTAGTGCTCTAGAATAAATATCAATAGATTATTTCTTTTTCCCTAAAATAATTGTAATTTGGCTCTCTGTGATCTAGGCTCAGCTCTTCTCCCTTGAATCTCTGTTTAGTTTGTAATCCTTTTATGCACACCCTTGAATAAAACACAGTAACCCAGAGAACAGATGTTAAAACTATCTCAGGAAGATCATTCTATAGGGACCCTACTGAAAGTGTGATTACAAAGGAAGTCAGGGTTAAGCAAACTTTTAATGTTTAACATGGTTACCAAAAATGTGCTACAGTGTTAATCATTAACATCTGAAATTTATGAATAGCTAAAGATACAAAAAAAAAAAATCTATTAGGTCAATGTCCTAGGAATTACAACTTTGAGCAGGAGGCCTAGGACTCTCAGTCCAGAAGTTCTGCCACCAAACCCTCATCCCTCAGATGTGGCATGCAAGCAATTCACTGGATTAGCCACAGCAATGTCCCTCTTAGTTTGTTACAGAGGTAGCTCAGGCACTGGTGCCCTGAATATAAGGGATCACTTCCATAATGACACTCACCTTTAAGTCTGGCATTCTTATCCACCCAATCACCAATGATGGCTCCCAGGAACAGAACAGACCCTGCCACCACCAGCCCATAAACTGCAGTCAAGAGGAGGCTGTTTCCATAGAGCTCTACCAGAAACACAGACACTGCGAAGTGCCACATCCGATCTCCCTTTAATAAGAGAAGAGAAAATATTTTGATGAAATAGTCTTAGTTTCTAGTCAATTGTACTCAGGAAGTTGCTTTCTTATCAAAAGGCACTTCTGGCTATATCATGAGACTTTTTAAAAGGGAACATGTGCTCACCAGAAAGAGAGAGAGAGAGAAAGCATCTCCCAGTAAGGCGTGGTCATACTACGACCCCTTCTCCCTCATTTCTCCATCCTGTCAGGATTTGTGGCATGCACACACACACGTCTGGTGTGTTTTTCAAACTGTCAAGGCTAGGATTTGAACCATGGTCAGCCATGTGAAATTTGGCTCCTTCAGTCTCTAGGCTAAGGGGCTAGGCCATATCATGAGACTTTTGAAGTTGGTAATTAATCTACAAATTGACTACTGATCAGATGTTAACACTCTTCATTCCAGCACAATTACAAACTCCAAATAACACATTCTTAATGCACACATACTTTTTATCATGGGGGGGGGCAGTTTCCAGATCAAAAAAGTCTTTTTTTTTTAGACAAAATCTGTTTTCTTATAAGCCAGGTTCTCCTTGGGCTTGGAATTTGCCTATCCTAATTTGACAGGCATAAAGTACAATAATTTGCTACTGAACCAAAACTAAATTACAGTATAGTTCAAAAATATTACTATAATTTGAATGTCAAGAAAAAAAATCTAGTCTTCCCAGTTTGTAGAATAATAAGAATAGACTGTATGATCTCTGAAGTTTCTCTTGCCTCCAACATGTTAAAATCTATGCTCTATTCAGAAATAAATCTCCAAGGGAACCAGCAGTTAGCATAATGGCTATGTCGCTGGACTCCCACATAGTCAACCGTGGTTCGTGTCCCGGACCCGGTGGCTTAAAACTCACGCCGGCCGTGTGTGTGTGCGTGCCCAAGATCCCAAGAGGAGAATGGAGAAGAAGGGATTGCGGCGTGACCATCCCCCCTGGGTGGGTGATTTCTCGCTTTCTGTCTCTGTGTCTCTGTCTGTCTGGCAAGCACACGCGCCCTATAGTGAAAATCTCTCCAAAAGAAAGAAAGAAAGAAAGAAAGAAAGAAAGAAAGAAAGAAAGAAAGAAAGAAAGAAAGAAAGAAAGAAAGAAAGAAAGAAAGAAAGAAAGAAATCTCCAAGTCATAAAACAGCAGAATCAGCGAAAACATCAAATCAATAAGGGCAAATTCTGGCAGCATATGAATGAAGACATCAGAAACAAATGCATAACTAGGTCATTTCAATGCCTGAGTACAGATGTGCTTTTTTTTTTTCATTTTCATTTTTTTAGAGAGAAATATTTTTGCTCACCAGAGAGACAGAGAGACAGAAAGCGAGAAAATCGCCCCCAAGGAGGGATGGCCACACTGCAATCCCTGCTCCTGTATTCTCCTCTTAGGATTTTGGGCATGCTTCACACGTGCCAGGTGTGAATTTTAAGCTGCCAGGTCCGGGACTCAAACTGCGGTCAGCTATGTTGGAGTCCAGCAACATAACCATTACACCATCTGCTGGTCCCCTTTTTTTCATCAGTACATTATTTTTTTATCTACATTCCATTGTTGCACATCTTTACAATGCACTATGTCATTTTTCAAAGTATGCATGCAGTATATGACAATCAGATGAGTTGAAAAAGGAAAACATCCTCAAATCTTCACACAGACTTTAGAATGTATAGGAAATTTTAGAATTTCTTACTGCAAAATGTGGTATATGTTTAAGAAATCTACAATGGGTAGGTGGCAATTTTAAGCTCCTACTGCAAAATGTGGTATACGTTTAAGAAATCTACAATGGGTAGGTGGCAATTTTAAGCTCCTACTGCAAAATGTGGTATACGTTTAAGAAATCTACAATGGGTAGGTGGCAATTTTAAGCTCCTACTGCAAAATGTGGTATACGTTTAAGAAATCTACAATGGGTAGGTGGCAATTTTAAGCTCCTACTGCAAAATGTGGTATACGTTTAAGAAATCTATAATGGGCAGGTGGCGATTTTAAGCTCCATCCCTGACTTTTGAGGTTAACAAGAGGAAGGACAACAATGTTCTATGATAACCTACCTCTGGGAATCACTACAGGAAACAGCCAGTTGCCCAGCTGGGGTCCTTATGGATTTGACTTACATGGAAGTACTGACACCTACAGTTCTTCCCAAAGTCTGTTAACACCTTCATGAAAAATTTAATGTATTGGAAGTAAATGAAAAGAATCATCCTGGAATGTCAATTGATTGCAAACATTTATTAAAGTCAAGGCAAAAATTATATGCATTCAAATTTGATGCATAGTAGCAATCTACTTCATGTATACCAGTAATTCTCAACTGGAGCTCTGTTTACCCTCCAGGGATCTTTGAGCAATGTCTAGAGTTACTTTGGGTTGTCACAACTGTAGGGGAATGGAAGGAGAAAACTATTGGCATCTACAATGCACAAGACAATAAAGAATCGTCCTGTTCAAAACTTTAGTAGTGCCAAGGTAGAAAAATCTTGGTATAGGGGATTATGAACATAATTTTGAGCTATAATTCATAATTAATGTAAGATTGGGACCTTAGGGGTTGATCAAGTAAACATTCAAACAAACTGGAAGTCACTAGCACTAGGATTGCAAGACTGATTCTCACTTGATGGTATGGATTTTGAGCTCTAAAATGTGTTGCCACCCTCAACATAGTGCATGGTCCACAGTACGCACATAAGTAACTGGTGAAATGAACAGACTGGCTGTGCGTGGGTCCCAGTGGTAGAATGAGTAAACAGAATATGTGGTCAAAACCTAGACTCATTTATCAACTATATTAGATTTATTTCATGAATATTCAAAAAGTCCGAGGATTACTCAGTATCATGATTAATGCTTAAGACAGAGGTTTGTTTAAGCTTTCTTTCATAATTGGCAGCTTTTCCTCTTAAATGAAGCAGGTATTAGTTCTGTTTCAAATATCATCATAAAGTGTATAATACATGCCCAATTTATTTGAAACTAATAAAAACACAAGTCTGTATATTAAGATAAAGAGGACATCAAGAGTAGAAAATTAAGCTGTTCTCTCATTCTTTAACATGAGAAAGAAATTTAGACTTGATTAGAATAAAATGGGCAAGGGGAGATTTATTTTAATCTCCATCCCTCTGGACAGCTCCCAAGGAAAAGCCATAAACACATAAATGCCCCCAAATAATAGGTTGCTTCTGTAAACGAATTTTCTCTTTCTTAATGTAACAATTAAGAAAGATTATTCTAACACTGTGTTTCTTCTTATATAACTCTTCTTTTTTTCCAAGACAGTTTCTTTTAGAGTCCTCTAAAGCATATCTTCAAATCAAGTGCTATTAAATAAAAGTGTTCTCTCCTGCTTATTCCTGTATTGCATGCCACCCCGTCAATGGAGATAAACATCATTGCTCTAGTTACCCCAATTTCCAAAGGTTTGGGGCTTTAAGAAGCAAGAAGAGTCTATACTCACAAACAGCCCTCCAACTGGGTAAAGTCTAAGTAAACACTGACCAAATGCCCATCCATTCCTTTGTTCTATTTCCTGCCCTCCCAGGTGTTCGCCCCATCCTTTGATGATGTGTTGACATAATTGTCCATCCCCATTGGTCTGAGAGCTGAAGGCAACTGAATATCTGTGAATGAATGATCATGGTAATTAATCCAGGTGACGAATATTTATTGAGTAGCTATTGTGTACTCAATGCTACTGCAGGTACTAGAGCTACAAGAGTGTACAAAAATCATGGTTCTCGCTTTCGTGCAGTCTGCAATCCAATGAGCAGAGACCAAAGACAAACCTAGCATAGGTCAGCTGATGTAAGTGCCAAGAGGAAAATAAAGTAGAATGGGGCAGGAAGGTAGCATTCTGTATGATGTGATGAATTTCAGACTCTATTTCTAGCATCTGTTATTGGTGCGTGTGTGTGTGTGTGTATGTGTGTGTGTGTGTGTGTTTCTTTTTTTAGAGAAGTTTTTTCGCTACAGGGCGCATGCGCTTGCCAGAAAGACAGAGAGACAGAGAGATAGAAAGTGAGAAATCACCCCCCAGGGAGGATGGCCATGCCGCAATCCCTTCTCCTCCATTCTTCTCTCAGGATCTTGGGCATGCATACACACATGCCCGGCATGAGTTTAAGCCACTGGGTCTGGGACGCGAATCGCACTCGACTACATGGGAGTCCAGCGACATAGCCATTACGCTAACTGCTGGTCCCTATGTTTGTGTGTTTTAAAACTTATTAAATTAAATTGAAAGAGCAAACTATCAGTTTAAGTTTATTAAGCTCTGCCCCACCAGGTTTCTACTTCTTTCTACTTCAAATCATCAGCTGTTGGAATTGAAACAGACACACCAATTCTAGTTTGTTTTCATGTCTTTGCAGTCATCCCTGTGTAAGCCTCTGTAAGACAGGCGCTTACTTTTCTAAACAGTCATTTATGAACTGCTATGTCTTAGCCAATGACCTAGCTTAATAATTTCCCAAAGGCATTGGATATAGATTTCCTCATACCATGGTTTCCATACATATCTTAAGGATAATCCAATAGCTGTTTTCAATTTTAAAAAGAAAATAACATTCAAAAACTTTACTCTCAAAATTCTTTTTTCTATGGTTCTTTTGAACTAAATATCCTATATGAGGCATGAACAGAATATACTAAACATCACAACATCACTAATTAAACACACCCCCCACCCTTCTGGAATTTTTTTTTTTTTTTTTTTTTTTTTTTTTGGTGAGTTGGTGAAGGAAGCCAGATAGAATTCCTCTAAAACCACATGGGAAGTCAGATGGAAAATTGTCAATTAGTTGCTGATTTTCACTGGGTGATGGTTTTTAAGATAGTCCATGATGCCCCACATGCTATCTCACTACAGGTAATATTCTGAAGACTGTAATTTTTAAAAATTATAATTTTAGTTTGCTCTAGGGAGTATGCGCTTGCCAGACAGAGAGAGAGAGACATAGGGAAAGTGAGAAATCATTCCCCCAATGGGGATGACCACACTGCAATCCTTCTCTCTATGCTCCTCTCAGGATTTGGGGCACAAATGAACATCTGCCTAGTGTATTTTTCAAGCTGCCAGGCACAGGACTCAGATTGCAAAATTGGCCATATGGGATCCAGCTGTCTTAACCACCAATAACACTAGCTGGCCCACAACCAGAATTTTTGTTTTGGGGATCATCTACATTTAAATTAATTTTGTAATTTTATTATTAGCCTAAGTTATTCCATCACTCTACTGTATTTTCATAGTGCTGCATGTTGGAACCAAACAGTTCCAACTTATGTCTCTTATGTGACACTGTGTCTGATTTTATTACCAGAAAATGTGTATGTTTATTTATATATTTATATAACCAAAAACCCCAGAAATACCTTTAAATATGAAAGAAGAAATATATATATATATATATATATATATATATATTTCATGTATCTTTTACATATATATTTCATATATCTTTTCTTCTTATTTAGAAGCAGGTCTTACCATTTACTAAACCTAGTAATGTAATATACAATTTATCAGCAATGCAAATATTCCTATCCTTGTTAATCCTGTCTTTGGGAAGTTGTCAGTCTATATAAAGTGTAACAACCTGATAATTATATTGCATGTACTGACATCCATAAGAAAATACCTTTGGTGAAAAATAACTTTCTCAGTAAAGCATGTGTATTTGGATGATTTCCTCAAATATAAGACAGTACTGGAAGTTGGCTTAACACAACTGACTCGAACGAAAGGAAATAAGAAGTTGTGCAACTACAGTGTAAGAGTTACCGTGCATTCTTACCCATGTAGAAAGAGAATGACCGAGGTAGAGAAGGAATTTGGCAGAGGTCAGGTAGTTTGCTATGGACCCTGTAAAAACACACAGGAGAAAAGATAAAAAGTATATTTAGTCACTTGCGTGAGCTGTCGTTTAAACGTTTATCCATTTGCTTTTGTTAAAACACGATTATTAAAAGCTACTCTGTGAACAAGCCATGTACATGTTATCAAGTCACCTACAAACCAGTACATTTATTTGACTTAACACCATTCGCTTAAATTCAGCATGACCTATTGGTCAATAACTGCATAACTTCACATACAATGAAGAACTGTATCAACTCTTTTTCTCTCTTTCTTTCCAGGTAAGGCAACCCAAACGGCCCGAGTGCTCCATCCTCGCTTTGCGCAACCCCCTTCCTGTACGTTGACTTTTCTTTCTTCCACATCCCCCACCAAACTGTGAATCAAAGGAGCTTTTACAAAGCACTTAGGTTAAA